CTGAGTCTGATTTGTGGGCTCCATCAGTCACCTCTCGTTTGTGCTCCAGGCAGATCTGGGTGGGACTCCTGGCTTATTGACTTTGCAATCTTGATAGACTGCAGAGCTCTCTGAGCTCAGTTTTTTTATCTGAAAAGTGAGGATAATATTGTCAGCCTCACAAAATATTAAATGAGCTAATGTAGGTAAATCACCCAACATGGTGTCTGGGCATAGGAGGTGCTCAGAAGGTGCGTGGTTCTCTCCCCGTTCCCTTCTTTCAGGGGACCGTATGATTTTCTGATGGCCAGTGTTGGATCCTTTCTTGCCCTGGGTTTCTCTCAAACGAAGTATAATATTCTTGCCTTATGATACATACAATAAAACCCGTGAAAGACGGAACCCACGTAAGGCGGAAACCTGTCAGAGAAGGAAAACTCAAATATTTTTCACTAAAACGAGCGATTGAAAAGTGGTAAGACTGCATCCTGTCAAAGGCAGAAAACTTTCGAGACCTGGAAAAACAGGGCAGCCCTGTCGAATTCCAGCTCTCACAGGTTTCACTATGATTCTTTATTTGATATTCACAACACTGTAAGGGCAACAGATGTCCTGGAATATCATATAATAACATCAACTTTGGACTTAAGAATGTCTTTTTTTGTTCAGGGAAGACACAATATAGTGGGGAAAACATTGGGCTAAGAAGCAGAAGACTTGGCTTTTTGATAATGACAGCACCAAAAATTACTGAGTATTTTGTGCCAGGCAGCATGCTGAGCACTTTACATGGATTATTTTATTTAACCTCCCAACAGCCCAAATGACACAGGACCTATTATTAGCTCCATTTCACTGCCCAGCAGTCTGAGGCTTAGAGAAGGTAGGCACTTGCTTCAGGCCACATAGCCAGTAAGTCTCAGAGCTGAGAGCAACTCAGATTAGTTTAACCATTCTAGAGCCCTCACCCTTCCCCACCACATACTCAGCCTCTTCCTGAGTGTCAGGCGCTTTGCATGTATGTTTCATGTAATGTTCCCAACAACCCATTTCACAGATGGCAAAACTGAGGCTGAGGCTGAGAGGGGTTAAATAATTGTCTGAGGTCACTCAGCTAGTGAAGTGACATAACTGGGATTCAGCTCCGGTCTGTCTGACTCTAAAGGCTGTGTGCGTCTCCCCTTCCCCTCACCATCTACTCCTGCCTAACTGGAGGGATAGCCAAAGGCGCTGGAGTTGGAAAGAGAATTCACAGTCAAGGAAAACAGATAGTAGCTGGGAAGACGAGTCAAATAGGTTCAAGAAGATTTGATAAATATGGCTACATCTGGGAGAACTGGGAGGAACCTGGAGCATAGAGGGAGTGGTTCAGAACTAAGCCTGGAATAGCTGGGAGGTGGGAGGGGATAGGAGGCCTGCTTTTATGTCCTGCCAGCTGCATGGTGGTGGTGGTGATTGACAGCTTATAAGGGTTGTGCAGGGCTGGACACTACATTGCTTCATTATCCGGGCCATGAAATCATGAGCAGAATTTGTGATTAAACTAATTTGGCCGAGAAGTTACACCACACTCTCCACCACCACTCCAATCAGCAGCACTGAAATCCCACCATTCTCGATGGATGCTCAGAGCCTCCTCACTCAGCTGGGGCTGGGCCAGCGCTCTGCAGCCATCTGCCCAGGCTGCACGGCTCTTTTGTTGCTTTTGGCGTGTTTAATAGCTTAATTTCTATTTTTCTGTTTGGAAATGCAGTTCGCCAGCATCGAGGCAGCAGTGGGTGTTAAAATTGGTTCTGATTGCTATCTTGAATGTTAATATCCTAATCCGTTTTATCGTCCGTGACCCGTTGCCCCTGCCACCAGCGCCCGCTCCCCTGCAGCAGAGATAGGCACACTGCCTGCCTTTGGATAGACCTCGAAGCTCATCTCATTCCTTTGCTGTCTTCCTCCCTGCTTTTCACAGATAGCATTGTACTTCACCAGTAAAGCCCGCAACCGTGGGAAATCTTTGACTCGGAGGATATGAGAAAGTGTTTCATTTTGCCTGCGGGGGTTTAATAGGGATGATCTAATCTCTGAAAGGCGTACATTATTTAAATTACATACTTTTGGATAAGAGGGCCCCTGATATTTTTGAACTTTGTCAGGGACAGGATTCTGGTTTGGCTCCATTGAGTGGGGCCTGTGGTTGGTTTTCCTGTTTGTAATTCCGTGCAGGGTCCAGGTTATATTTGTGGCGGGGTCAATACCTATGGTGAGCGTTCTGAGGAATATTTTCTTTACCCAGAAAGCTGAAGTCATGGACTTTTAGGGGTGGAAGGGACCAGTTTGTATCCAGTGGAAGCACCAGTTTGTTCTTTGGTTCCCATCCGGATCTTAAGCTCCAGAAAAACCCAAACCAGTTGCCATCGAGTCAGCTGCAACTCATGGTGAACCCATGTGTGTCAGAGTGGAACTGTGTGCCATAGGGTTTTCAATAGCTGATTTTTCAGAAGTAGATCGCCAGGCCTTTCTTATGAGGCACTTCGGGGTGGACTCTAACCACCAACCTTTTGGTCAGCTGCCTATTGTGTTAAATGTTGGCATGACCCAGGAACTCATTTCAAACTTAAGAAGTAGTAAAAGAAGCCTAGGGTCTGCTCTATAGGAATCGACTCGACGGCAATGGGTATAGGTCTGCTGTGGTGTGCAGTCCTCCAGGGTAGCTAAGGGACATTACAGGCCCTGCTGACTGCCTTCCCTCACTCCTGCCCTGACAGAGAACCCAAAATAACATCATTGGCCACACCTATAAATCATGGACGACCTCTGCTGATGAAAATGGTATTTTGAGGGAAATCTTGAGTTCTTCTCAGCCACAAAGGACAGAGTCTGGAAATAAAGCGGGGTTCAGGGATGGCTCTGGGGACCTGGACTGTGTGTAGAGTGAGATGTTGTGGGAGGGAACTAGAGAAGGTCAGTTTCCGTTGAGTTCATTTGCCTCACAGGGAGTCTGTGATGTGCGTGGTATAGCCGCTTCTTCTTCCCCTCTTGCCTGTCTCAGATGTAGGCATGTGCCTGCCTTCTTTTCTGTGGCTTGGAGGGGTGAATGATCCCAGAATAGGCTCTGGAAGTTCTGAATATAGAGCCTTTTTCCACCTCTGGAGATGCTGAGTGTTTACTGAGCAGCGATGAGCTAAGCACTATCCAGTTGCCATGGAGTGAACTCAGTTCCACAGTCTCCATAGGGTGGCTGATTTTTTGGAAGTTGACCGCCAGGCCTTTCTTCTGAGATGCCTCTGGGTGGACTCAAACTGCCAACCTTTCAGTTAGATGCTGAGTACGTTCATTATTTATGCCACTCAGGGACTCCAGCTAAGCACTGGAAACCATTACCGTCGAGTCGATTTTGACTCATAGCGTCCCTTTAGGGGGACATAGGGATTCCGAGGAGCAGCTGGTGGATTTGAACTGCTGACCTTTTGGTCAGCAGCCGAACACTTAACCACTACGCCACCAGGGCTCCAGATAAGCAGTAGGGATGCAAATATGGTTAACGTACTCTCTACCTAGCAGGGGAGATAGATACATGGACAGTGTCTTACAATTTAATAGGAGCCATAATTAAGATATGTACGGTAAACTGTGGTAACACAGATGAGGGAGCAATTAATTCTGATTGGTTGCGTCTGGAAAGGCTTCAGAGAGGAGGTGACAGTTGACCTCGGCCTTGGACAGGCTGATCCTTCCAAAGTATTAATTGTCAAATGTATGCCTGCTCTTCATTGGGGACCCTGCAAAAAAGAAAAGGAGGAGTGGATCCAGCCCTCAAGGAATTGGCAGCTTGTTGGGGAGACAGGCCTGGCACTTCTGAGCCAATTACATTTCTGCCCAGACAGATAGATTGTGGAGGCGGGGATAGGCCACAGGGGGTGCTTTGTGATCCAAGGTCTCCGGAGTTACTACGTCTCTCTCACGGAGAATGCAGCTTCTGCAAGGATCATTCAGACCTTGCAAAGACATCTTCACTAGAAGAGGCCCAGGCTATCTGCCTTTTCTCCCCTCCCATGATCTCATCAGGCTGATTCTGTAGACTAGAAGTCATTAGCTGGGGCTGGAGGTGGAGAGGGAGCAGGTTAGAGTGGGTAGAGCATGTTGATGGAAACAGCTGTACTGACTCTCTTTATAGCTCTGCTGGAATCTGGGGTTTGCACGACAGGTGTGTCGCCAACACATAGCCTGAGCATGGGGTCCCTCATTCCCGCACCAACATCCCACACACACACTGAAACTTTCCTTATGCTGTTTCTTCCACAATGAATGCCTGCCGTTTCTTGTCTCCATGAAGTCGAAGGCCCTTCTACAAGGACTTCAGTCTCATCAGATACTTAGTTATTCTCTGTACCTCATCATTAATTTGGGTTCAGCATTTGGCTTCATCATTAATTGGTTCCCCATTTTTTAACTCCCCAATGAGACTGTAAGCACCTTGAAAGCAAGGATAGCGTCTTATGCTTCTCTTATTTCCTCTAGGAGACAGTTTGTGGGTTTGTCTAGACAGTCCTGGCATAAAATCTCAGCACGTAACTATGAATACAGTTTCCGTATCCATAAAATGGGAGAACACGGGGTTTCTCAACCTCAACAGCGCTGTCGACATTTTGGGCTGGATAACTGTTTGGGGGTGGGATGGGGTGGGTGGGAACTGTCCTATGCATTGTAGGATATTTAGCAGCATCCCTGGCTCTCCCCATTAGACGCCTGTAGCACCCCCCTTCTAATCTTGACGATCACAAATATCACTAGACATTGCCTGGCTGGGTATGCAGAGACCTCCTAGTACAGCACTACATGAAGGGGGTATTCCGTAAATACTAGTTCTCCTTCCTTCCAAACTCCCCCAGCACTGGACGCATTCCAGGTTGATGAATGGAGTGGAGCTGTGACTCTGGGTTTTAGCAGTTTGGGGTGGAAATGTCATGAAAATCTTGGACTGCCCACACAATGCACTAACAGAGTCACTGTCGTTTTCTTCATTGCAGATTGATCTGGAGCCAGAAGGAAGAGTGTATGTGATCATTGATCTCTCGGGGTCATCGGGTGAAGGTAGGAGAGTGTGACCTCTCATCCTTGTTCTCTTGTGTTGACTTTTCGTTGTCTTTTGGGTCATTCCCTTGGCTGGGACATATTACAGTAACAATTAATCAGCACAGTTTAAAGGAGGAGGTTCTTTGGAAGATGCTTATGCCTGTGCACCAAAAGGGACCAGCCATGTGTTAACTCTGGTGGAGCAGAGGGCAGATTTTGACTTACCACATGAGGCCAATGAAACAGGCGTTTCTCACAGGCTGGTGCACGAAGTGGGCTTTGGTGAAGCAGCAGAATCACTGGGGAGGCCCCTGTGGGGGTTTGTGTGTGTGCGTTGGAAAGTAAAGCCAGTTGGTCCGATGGTATTCAGAAATAAAACAAAGCGTCACATTTCAGAATCTTATTTCGCTAGAGTTTTTATAGAAGTGCTACTTCTTTCTCCAGCGCCTTACCTTGGTAAAGACTTTGCTTACCAAGGCAAAAGTCCTGCTTTTAAGGAGAAATCGTGGGGAGAGGGAACTTCGGCTCCCCACTAGCTGATCAGACGAGGTATAGATTTTCTGATAGTCGGATTTTCCCTTTCTTTTCTTTTTACGCCCTCTTCTTTCCATCCCTTTTTTGCTCACTTAATACCTTTTAAGGATGGTGAGGACTGAGAGGTCAGGGTGGAAGGGAAGGACAGGACATAAAACTTCTCCAGATAGGAACAAGGAGATGGTGGCAGACTTGGGCTCTAGGAGTTTGGAATTAAGACCGAAATTTAATTTTCAGGACCATCTTTCCCCTTTCCTCCTCTATCTCTGAGCAGGGGGTGGAAGACTTGGCTTTAATGTCGCAGCAGAGAGAATCTTGGCAGGATGAGGAGAGGCATGGAGAATGATAACCATCACATTTGTTATCTAGTCCTCATGAGAAGGGTCCAGTGTGAAGCGCGTCCCACACAGACACCCTGTTGGCTTTGCAGATAGTGGGCATTCACAGATTCTTGGCAGTAACAATAAGGGGACTTGGGGGCTGTACCCCAAGGAGAAAGTACTTGGCTCCCTCAGCTCTTTTGGCTGGAAGACTTGAGCCTTTGACAACATCTCCCCCAAAATACGGGGGACACAGGGCACAAAGTCACAACTGCTGATGGTCTCCCCCATTTTAGGGATGAGGCTCTCTAGTGTAAGCATGAGTGGTGGGAGGAGAGACTTTGTAAGCAAATTCTAAGGAGCTGGTCAAATGATGCCACATAATGGTGGTGCCTAATGAGTTTTGTTTGGCTAACTCATCATCCGATTTCAACAGGCAAATTCAATCAGTGTGTGTCTGTGGGTATGAGGATGATAATGGAAATCAGTCTTCTTTTAATAGATCTCAATTATTATTTGGAATAGGTTCAAAACTTTTAATACCCTTCCAAAATTGGTCTTTGACATTTTCTGCTCTTTATTGCAATTTACCCTTTGGCTTTTCTGTCTTCCTCTGCCCTGAGCACTAAACAGCCTAGAATAGAGTCTGTTATAGCAAATTCGAGGATTTAATAATATTCAATATGAAATACTTAAGACCTACAAAAAGGTCTAAAGAATAATAAAATGGCAACCAGTGTAGCCACAACTCGGATTAAGAAATAATGCTGCCAATAAGGCAAAGCCTTGCAGTTGCTTTTAACATGACATCTGATCTCAGATATACCAGACAACATGTTACTGTGGCCTCCTGACTGTAGACACTGGCAAAACATTTGAAGGGCAAAATCAGTCCTCTTTTTTTTCTTACTTAATCTATGTGCAATAGGATAATCAATTAAATATGTATTTCCTGTGCCAAGAAGCTGGGCCACCAATGGGAGGCTTGGATTATTATTTTTTTCTTTGTAAAGATTAACGACTTACAAAATTGTGGAAGACATCCTCCTTTTATATTAGAAGGAAGGGAGGTGGACAAATGAATGAATACATAAATCAGAAACAAGTGATTTTTTTTTCCTTCTTGCTTCTCCAGCTTATTACATGTGAATGGCCAAAGCGATTTTCATTGGGCTGAATTCTTAGTCTATTTTTTTTTTCATCCCTTTCATCTAAAGAAAACAGAGTTTACTTCAGAAATGCTGACACACGCCGGAATCCGTAAAGTGCTAGCACGTGTTCCTCTGAAGAAAAGAAGAGAATTTTCTGCTCTTTTTTTTCTCCTTGCTGTTCTTGAACTTGGGATCCTTTCTTTGGATGTTGGGAAGGAGTTTCAGTAATCCGCCTTAGAAGCTGATCTTGTTGTGTTCTGTTTGTGTTCTACACATCTGTTCTCCACATCCTGCTGCTGGGACAGTGAGTGCTCCTGGTCCAGAGATAGTTTTGCTTTTGGAAGGGTGAAAGGGCTGGCAGGGCGAGGAGAGGAGATGGAGAATGAGTAGCCGTAACATTTGCCGCGTAGGCCACACGAGAAGGGTCTAGTGTGAAATATGGCCATCACAGACACCCTGCTGGATGTATAGACTGGACCCTTACAGATTCTTGTCTAAGCCCTTGTCTCTAGCAAAATAACTAATTCCAGAGTCTGTGAAATTGTGAGAAGAGAATTGAAACGAGGCCTAACTGAAGTTTTCACCACTCAATATTATTCTGCTATCCATCATCCCTCCAACTCCCCCATCTCAAATGCTCCAGTCCCACCAATGGATAAATATGTATTGTAGAAATTAAACAAACTTTACGACATATGCAAATATCAAAGATTTCAGAAAAAGGTGTAGAGGTGAGACTGCGTGAATGACATCCCCTTCTTCTAGGGTGTGCCAAAAAGAATTGTTTTCTTGCTGACTCACTGTAGAAAGCCTGGTTGTTTCCGTCTGCTTGAGCTTGAGCTAATGTGATTTCTAACTGTCTAATAAAATCCCACTGCTTGCATGTCCTGTGCACTTCCTGATAATGGGGTTTGATCAGTGTGTGCTTTAGCTAAACCAGTGACCTAACCCCAAATGGAAGAGGCCAGGCTGGATGTGAGCTAAGGTCATTTCTGGTCATGTGACTTTATCCGTTGAGATAATTTAAAGAGACAGCCATCGGAGCTCAAGGCTGAGGGCTGGCTTATGTCTACAGCAGGTAGAAGGGGTTGGAAGAAAGGACTCCTGGGTGACAGGTACTGTGGTAGGTACTTTACCTACATTATCCCAAGTGGCAAACCCATTCAGAGTACTAGTGTGTGAGCCTCCGGTCTCGGGTACATCATAGTCTTATGTTTTTATCCTAAGTGACAACCACATGGCATCCTGGTAAGCAGAGCTCAGGGTCTCAGCATATGCTTCAATCAGGATACAGTAACAGAAGTATAACAGGCTTGTAGCTCGCAAATGTGCCAACTCGGGTTTCCTGCTGTGCACATTAGTTAGTATTTCTCCCTTTGTTATGATGTCATGTGTCTATTCTTTCTTACGCTTTATGATAATATGGCAACACACCGTTATTTGCAGGGTCTCCGATGAGGGAGGGCAGGGCCTGACCCGAGGATTTCTAGGCTCTTCTTCCCCTGCCTTCCAACCAGGTGTAAGTGTTCACCTGGGCGGGTTCGTCGTCATTTCAACCAACAATAGAAATGACAAGAATTATACCACATTGGTATGTGTTTGGGTCACTATTTCTGCAATAAAATACAAAAGGTACAAAATAATTTGAATGCGTTTTGCAACCCACAGTCACATAGAATGCGGTTCTATCATGTTCTGGAGTGATTGTGTGTTGTGGAAACAGAAGATGAGGAGCAGGGAGCAGGATCCCCACTCTCTGGGGAAAAGAGTGGTGTTGTTTCTGCAGCTGCCTGCTCCCCTGGGACCGGGAGCAGATAGAGTGGAAAGAGCATGGCCTTCGGAGTTCATCAGACCTGCATTTAAATTCTGGCTCTAGTGCTTGCTGTCTCAGAGCTTTAGATTTCCCACCCATAAAATGGTGTAACAGTGCCTATGAGACAGGGTTGCTATAAAGACGGTGCCTTGGTACAGTGCCCTTGACTACAGGAGATGCTCAACAAATACTCCAACACCCTGGAGACCCAAGAGCAGGGCAGTAGGCCTAGCTCTACCCAGTACCCAGGAAGAAGCAGCAGGAACAGATTGAGGCCATGTTTCTGACTCTGGAGTGTGCCATATTCAACAGAGCCAAGAACAGAGCAAAGTAACGGAGGCAATTTATAGAATAGTAAACTGGCGGGAACTATGAGATGGTTTCCTGCAAAGTTCAGACCCTGCTGCAGTTCTGCCGCATCCCCTCTCTTTCTTCCCCACGTGAAGTAATTCCCAGAAGGACATTCCCTAGCCTCCCTGAGTTGCTCGTTTGTATCCTGTGGCCCTTAAAGCCAAAAAATTCTCCTCATCAGAGTCTCAGCTTGTCTCATCTCTGCTAGCACAGGCCCAGAACATATGGTCCCCATACGCTCACCTGCCCCTGGGCAAAAGCCCTTCGTTTGTTTGAAGACAGTTATTAAATCTCTCTTCTTCAGGCTGAATACATCTAATTCCTTAAACTTTCTGAAGGGAGATTTTAGAGATCTGAACTCATCTTAGCAGCTCTCTTCTGGACTTTTTCCAAGTCGCACAGATAGACAGACAGACGTGATGTAACCATGGTAACTGTAGCGTGTGCGTAGAGGTTTTAGCTTTACCAAGTATTTGAGAGTATGACCTTCAAGTAGGAGATGGTGAGATGGAGGGGTTAAGTGATGTGCCCAAGGCCAAAAGGTTGATTAAGAGGCCTCATTGGCTCTTGACCCCAGGCTACGGTCCAGCCCTGTGCTCCAAATCGTGGCCCCAATAATGAGTTGGCCAACATAGCAATGACTTCCCCACTTGTTCTTCTTACTTGAGTTCTTTCCTGCAGAAGCCTTTTTAACAGAAATATAAAGCTTAAATTCTTAGCTTTGAATCCAGACGTGACTCAGAGAGTCCCTTTGGTAAATAAGCAGGTCTGTTTTCCACTCTCGTAGAAAGGAAAGCTCTCTTGATCCCCGCACAGTACAGGTAGACTGGATCCTTCCTAGGCTCTCTG